GAGGTACCTGCACTTCAAAATTCATGTTATCAAGAAATTTCTGGTTCATGGTTCTGGCGAACTTGTCAATGGCTCTCAAAAAAACCCTGAAAGAAATACAGTAATTACAGTAATGTAAGACATTGTGTTTAGTTACTAAAAGAATACATTTTCTCTTCACCAATAGAACATGTTGGGTGAGTGGAAGCCAGCTGGTATTCACCAGTGCAACTTGCAAGCAGTGCAACACCCACACAGATGGGTACTGACCAGGGAAAGAGTCAGAATGATATGTCAAATTGATCATATCTTCCAATCTTTCCAATCTTGGAAACAGGTACAAGCCAGTAACAGGTTTGTTGGACAGGAAAGTAGGTGAGATGCAGCAATACCTTTAGCCTCCAGTCTTACAGAAAGGAGATACAACCAGACCATACAGTCAGGTCCATAAATATTGGGACATCGACACAATTCTAACATTTTTGGCTCTATACACCACCACAATGGATTTGAAATGAAACAAACAAGATGCGCTTTAACTGCAGACTGTCAGCTTTAATTTGAGGGTATTTACATCCAAATTAAGTGAACTGTGTAGGAATTACAACAGTTTGCATATGTGCCTCCCACTTGTTAAGGGACCAAAAGTAATGGGACAGAATAATAATCATAAATCAAACTTTCACTTTTTAATACTTGGTTGCAAATCCTTTGCAGTCAATTACAGCCTGAAGTCTGGAACGCATAGACATCACCAGACGCTGGGTTTCATCCCTGGTGATGCTCTGCCAGGCCCTCTACTGCAACTGTCTTCAGTTCCTGCTTGTTCTTGGGGCATTTTGCCTTCAGTTTTGTCTTCAGCAAGTGAAATGCATGCTCAATCGGATTCAGGTCAGGTGGTTGACTTGGCCATTGCATAACATTCCACTTCTTTCCTTTAAAAAACTCTTTGGTTGCTTTTGCAGTATGCTTTGGGTCATTGTCCATCTGCACTGTGAAGCGGCGTCCAATGAGTTCTGAAGCATTTGGCTGAATATGAGCAGATAATATTGCCCGAAACACGTCAGAATTCATCCTGCTGCTTTTGTCAGCAGTCACATCATCAATAAATACAAGAGAACCATTTCCATTGGCAGCCATACATGCCCACGCCATGACACTACCACCACCATGCTTCACTGATGAGGTGGTATGCTTAGGATCATGAGCAGTTCCTTTCCTTCTCCATACTCTTCTCTTCCCATCACTCTGGTACAAGTTGATCTTGGTCTCATCTGTCCATAGGATGTTGTTCCAGAACTGTGAAGGCTTTTTTAGATGTCGTTTGGCAAACTCTAATCTGGCCTTCCTGTTTTTGAGGCTCACCAATGGTTTACATCTTGTGGTGAACCCTCTGTATTCACTCTGGTGAAATCTTCTCTTGATTGTTGACTTTGACACGCATACACCTACCTCCTGGAGAGTGTTCTTGATTTGGCCAACTGTTGTGAAGGGTGTTTTCTTCACCAGGGAAAGAATTCTTTGGTTATCCACCACAGTTGTTTTCCGTGGTCTTCCGGGTCTTTTGGTGTTGCTGAGCTCACCGGTGCGTTCCTTCTTTTTAAAAATGTTCCAAACAGTTGTTTTGGCCACCCCTAATGTTTTTGCTATCTCTCTGATGGGTTTGTTTTGTTTTTTTCAGCCTAATGATGGCTTGCTTCACTGATAGTGACAGCTCTTTGGATCTCATCTTGAGAGTTGACAGCAACAGATTCCAAATGCAAATAGCACACTTGAAATGAACTCTGGACCTTTTATCTGCTCATTGTAATTGAGATAATGAGGGAATGACACACACCTGGCCATGGAACAGCTGAGAAGCCAATTGTCCCATTACTTTTGGTCCCTTAACAAGTGGGAGGCACATATGCAAACTGTTGTAATTCCTACACCGTTCACCTGATTTGGATGTAAATACCCTCAAATTAAAGCTGACAGTCTGCAGTTAAAGCACATCTTGTTCGTTTTATTTCAAATCCATTGTGGTGGTGTATAGAGCCAAAAATGTTAGAATTGTGTCGATGTCCCAATATTTATGGACCTGACTGTATGTTTGTAGAACTAATGTGCTAAAACAGCTTTACATGTTTGTGGATCTACAAGTGACAGAATAGCCTTGCTGCTAATGTATGGAACCACAAGCACCGGATGAGCTGCAAAGCTGATCTGAGACAGACATCACTTTAAATATAATGAAAATATTCAATCTGTCTAATCTGACACTATCCAAAAATGATTGTGAACTATCTCCAGAAAATGGACCCACTTATTTTATTCTATTTAAAGACCTCAATAGACTCATTAGAAATATAACAGTGAGGGGTACAACAATATATTTGTGGATGCTCAGTCCACAAAAATGCTGCGCTTTGTCAGTCCACAACAGGGAGGAGCTGAGTGCATTTCTGTCAGGTCAACAGGTATTTTTCTGTATTTGCAGGGTCTTTTAATGGTTAAAATATGGGGAAATGTTCAATGTCCAATCAGAGCTGATCACGATGTAAACACACTTGTTGGCAGCGCTTTCCTCACATTGCCACAGTGTTAAAGGAGACATCAGGGCATTGATTATCAGTGCAGCCCCAAAATTGCCCAGTCGTGCTGCCAATGTGTGCCCATCAGCACTGCAATATCTGTGCCCGTCAGTGATGCCGATCTGTGCCCATCAGTACTGCCAGTCAGTGCCACCTATCAGAGCCACAAGTTAGTGCTGCAAGTCATTGCCGCTTATCAGTGTCCTTCAGTGCTGCCCACTAGTGCCCACTACTGCCACCTATCAGTGCTCATCATTGCCTCCTATCAGTGTCCATAAGTGCCGCATATCAGTACCTCCTCATCAATGCCCACCAGTGCTGCCTTATCAGTGCCACCTCATCAGTGCAGCCTATCAGTGTCCATCAGTACTGCCTATCAGTGCCCATCAGTGCAGCCTCATCAACGCACATCAGTGAAGGAGAAAATTACCTGTTTGCAACAACTAAGAAAAATGTTTTTTTTTGGTCGTTTTTCAATTTGTTTAGCAAAAAATAAAACACCCATTGGTGATTAACCACTTGCCTACCGAGCACTTTCTCCCCCTTCCTGCCCAGGCCAATTTTCAGCTTTCAGCGCTGTCGCACTTTGAATGACAATTGCGTGGTCATGCAACACTGTACCCATATGAAATATTTATCCTTTTTTTGAGACAGATAGAGCTTTCTTTTGGTGGTATTTAATAACCACTGGGGTTTTTTTTTTTTTGATAAACAAACCAAAAAAACTACTGAAAAGTTTTTTTTCTTAGTTTCTGTTATAAAATTTCGTAAATGAGTAATTTTTCTCCTTCACTGATGTGCACTAATGAGGCTGCAGTGATGGGCACTGATAGGCGGCACTGATGATGAGGCACTGGTAGGTGGCACTGATGGGCATTGACAGGCATCACTGGTGGGCATTCACACACATCACTGATGGGCAGTGAAAGGCAGTACTCATATATGGCACTGATAGGTGGCACAGATAGGCAACACTGACTGGCACTGATAGGAAGCACTGACAGGCACTGTTAGGTGGCACTGGCGGGCACTGACTGGCACTGATAGGTGGCACTGATTGGCAGCACTCATAGGTGGCACTGATAGGTGGCACTGACTGGCACTGATAGTTGGCAATGAAAGGCAGCTCAGATGGGCACTGATATGTGGCATTCATGTACACTGATAGGCACTGATATGTGGCATTGATGTGCAGTGATGGGTACTGACAGGTGGCATTGATGGACACTGACAGGTGGCACTGATGGGGCTACACTGATCATCAGGGCACTGATCATAAGTGCCTTGATGATCAGTGTAGATGTCCCCTCTGAAGAATGCTGATTACCTGCTCTCCTCTCCTCACGAGCTCTCAGCGTGACAGCTCATGAAGAGAGAAATGCTTATAACCTGCATTTCTTTATTTACATGCGATCAGCTGTGATTGGACACAGCTGATCACATGACAGAGCCAAAGTCATCGTCTCTTTCTGCTGATCGGTGATCCGCTGTGTCCCAGGGACACAGCGCACCGCCAATCGCCGCACTGCACACCCCTGGGGCGCGCACGAGCGGTTAGAGTGGGAGAACATCATATGACGTCCTTCCAGAATGAGAGAACCACCTTGTGCCCGTCATTTCCTTTATATGGCGGGTGGGAGGCGGTTAAATACCACCAAAAAAAGCTCTATTTGTGTGAAAAAATTATACAAATTTCATATGTGTACAGGGTTGCATGACTGCTCAATTGTCATTCAAAGTTTGATAGCACTGAAAGCTGAAAATTGTGCTGGGCAGGAAAGGGATTTAAAGTGCCCAATAGGCAAGTGGATAAAGGCAGTCAGCAGCCATTTCAACCACTACTGAATTTGCAATATAGTAAACGTAAGATGCTTTTATAAAACTGTGCAGCAATTGATACATTTCATATTTGAAATACATGAAAATGAACAAATACTTCAAATTCTAACAATATTACCTGTTTTGGACCATGCTCATTGTTATCCAGTCTGAAGAATAAACATTCTTTCCAATAAGGTCTTTAACATGATAAATGTTTCCATCAGGAAATCCTAGAGAAGAGTAAAAACAACACAGTCAGCTCCCTACCATGGACCTATTGTGTTCTCCCAGCAGGGGAGGGGGGAGGATCATGTGGGGGAGGCATCCCTGCCAGGAGAACATAGTGATAATTGCTAGAGGTTATAGCTAGAAATGTAGCGAATTATTCAAAAATTCGATTCGGCTGATTCGCCGAATTTGCGGAATAAATTCGATTTGATGCGAATTTATTCGCTGCGAATTTAACTATTAAAAGGGTTATCTAGGCTTCAGAGAGCCTTTATATTAGTGCAGAACACTGTACCTTTAATTTAAATGCCCTTGGAGTCTGCTGGGGAAGAGAAATTAATACTGTCAGTCAGTATGACATGCAGATGAGTGCCGTCGATCTTAGAATCACCGCACACT